TTGAGACCCACACCTTTCTTGCTCTATGCAAAATGTACTTTTATTGAGGACTTTTCAGGTTATACCCAGTGTAAATTTATTTGCTATTATACTACACTTCAGGCATTGTTTGAAAGACATCCTGAGTCTCCATGGATCAATTCAAAAGAATGGTAGCATTTTTTCTTCTTGCAGAAAAGAAGGACCAATGTTGTAGATACTTGTTTACTTCCAGAAAAATTCTGGGAATTAGCTTCTACAGACATCATGCAATGTTCATTTTGACATTTCTACCTAGCTTTGTATTACGTACACTACAAACATTGATGGGGAGTTATTTACCCTTATTCCAACAAATATATGAGTGGAAAATACAGAAAATGGAGAACAAGTTTAAATCTTCCTTTTAAAGGAGGATATAAAAAATTTTAGCTCAGAAACTTTATGAAGCTCATAACAATAGCAGGGAGATCCAGTGTTGAAAATATCTCTGATCTAGACATGTTAAATTTCTCATGTGGGGGCAAGGGCAAGGTTGGTGGATTTTATGATTATTCTTATATCCAATGAATTTATCAAGTTAGTTTTGAAACTTTAATTCATGAGAAAATGCTAAGCGTTGGCGGGAGCTCCACGGCAACTCCACGGCAGGTATACGTGGGAGAGAATTGGAGGGAACCCTACCCTAGGGCTTATCACGAGAACTTCGAATTACAAAAGCGAATCCTGTTGTGGAGCTCCCGCCAACCTTAGTGGGATGGTCGGACTCGTCGGAGTTTCCATTACCCAGATGTCCTCCAAATCTCTGCCATCGACATCCACCCCACTCCCCATTAACAGCCGTCCAACCCCATCCCCTTCACACCCGCCACCCTCTTCCTACTCTCCTCATCGTGATTTTTCTCTTTCTCTGATGAGGGCGAAGTATATCCAGAACTACCCTCCACTCCATCTCCATACTCGTTCAGTCCTCAACGTTCAACGTCAACGTCCACCTCTTCCTCCATCAACATTCCTCCCCAGCGATGGCTCAACCCTTCCCTTCCCTAACCGAAACTTGCCCCCTCTCGCCTCTCATATACCCCAACGCCCTCCGCAGACACCCTTCCTTCCCTGGCATACGTGTGGCCTGCGTTTCTCAGACAGTCGCCATATCCCTTTGTTAGCCGTAGGATCAAAACGTCGACGAGCCTCGGACTTGGCTGGCTTTTGGTGGTATATGACGCGGATGGGATTGGAGAGTCACCACGTGCAGCCGATGATATTACCCCCTCTCAGATCTTTTCGAGCTGGGGTGGATCCGCAATACGAACGGACCGGAAAACTTTTGATCCAAGCACTGCGAGGCGACATTCAGCTTCTTATTCTTACCCTCCTCAAGTCCGAGCTCGATGCCAAAGTCGAAATTTGGAGCTCCTGAACGATCGTACAAACTTGCGAGGAACGTGAACGAAGACGCCGTCGGCGAGGGTTGGTAGTAAGAAGGGGAGCAAGGCTTCCGTGGACGTCTTTAAATTTGTCCCCACGAATGGATACCTATCCTTCAAGCCCAGCAGATCGTACCAGTAGAGTCTCTCCTACCACACTCCACGCCAACCCATTTCCCCTTCTCCTCCCACTCACAATGCCTCATCCGATACCCTACGAGTGCAGTCTGACAGTAGATCTCGGATCTTGCTCACTCTATCGTCGACTTGTTTCCATCGTCTCCAGGTACCTCTGCCCTGGTCATACCCACCTTGTCAGTCGTTTTGCTTCAACATCAGCAAAACCTGGGTGAGCTAGGCAGCACGTGGCAGGGCTGTGTAGTGCCATAGCACCATAGAAAGGGGTATCACCTTTACAGTCACCTGCACGTTCTATGCAGCTCTACATAGAAACGCACAGCCACTACACAGCACTCCCTAGAATCTCAGAGCAGATCTGCAGCCATTCATAGAAACACATAGCCACTTCATAGTGCTCCCTAGAATTACGGAGCAGATCTGCAGCCCTCAGTAGCAACCCCTGGGGTCTGCAGATTCCTAGAGGGGGGGCATACATTCTGCTCATTTTAATACCATATTGTATGATTTTTACACAGAACTGGTGTTACGAAAAAATAAGTTTATTGTCTGCACTACTACATTATACAAGATATCCTAATATTCTACATAGTAATGACTGCAGTATATCAAATTTATGGAATCAGAGTATCAAGTATTAAAGATACTAAGAGGATGCCATTCGCCAACAAGGAAGGGAGGACGGTTGTTCGTCGAGGGACGGAGCCGTTCTTCAAAGGAGGGAGGACTCAAAGGAGGGAGGACGCCATTCGTCGACAAGGGAGGGAGGACGCCGTTCTTCAAGGGAGGGAGCCGTTCATCAATGAGGTAGGGAGGACACCGTTCGTCGACAACAGAGGGAAGATGCGTTTGTCGACAAGCTAGGGACGACGCCGTTCTTCAAGGCAGGGGGAACACCATTTATCAACGAGAGAGGGAGGACGCCGTTCGTCAACGAGGGAGGGAGGACACCATTCGTCAAGGGAGAAACGCCGTCCGTCAAGAAGGGAGGGAGGATGCCGTTCGTCGACGAGTGAGGGAGCAGTTCATCAAGGGAGGACACTGTTCATCGGGGGAGCCGTTTGTCGAGGGAGGGGGGCCGTTTGTCAAGAGGGAGCCTTTCGTCAAGGGAGGGAGCCGTTTGCCGAGAGAGGGAGCCATTCGTTGAGGGAGGAGTCATTTGTCGACGAGGGAGCCGTTCGTCGATGAGGGAGGGATCTTTTCTTTAAGGGAGGAAACCATTCTTCACGGGAGCGAGCTGTTCTTCAAGGGAGGCAGGGAGCCATTCTTCAAGGGGGGGAGGAAACCGTTCTTCAAGAGAGGGAGGATGCCGTTCTTCAAGGGAGGGAGGACGCCGTTCATGGACGAGGGAGGACACCGTTCGTCGAGGGACGCGGTTCGTCAACGAGGGAGGGAGGATGCTGTAACTCGACGAGGGAGGACACCGTTTGTCGAGGACAAGTTGAACATTGTGGTGGGAAGGAAGAACAATGAATTTCCGTGTTGGGAAATTCAAAGTTCAACATAATCACATGATGTCGGAGTTTCAACGGACTTGAACGAATTGTCTCGCGACTTGAAGTTGTTTGTCGCCTGTCACTGTCTTTCACAGAAAGCATGGCATTCGAGGTGGGCATTCACAATTGTAGATGGCACCATGTAATCAGGCAAATATAAAATTCATATTGGAAAATTATTGAACAATTTCCGAGCCTTCCAAGAAATTTGCAGTTGTTACCAGAAATTTCCGCTATTTCGATGATTTCCCGAAATTTCCTGTTTTTTGGTGGTAGTAGTAGTAACAATTGAAGTTGTCTAAGTTCGAAAATGTGAGTTGAGCACGGCACGTGACTTCCCGCAACCGTACCGACTTCCATCAATTCACACTTACACTTTCTAGGCTAGCTCATAGCTATAACTTCACGAGTATTACACCGTTTGGCCTCTATGTAGGCTTATTTTAATCGCTTCATTCACGCGAATGCAATCCAATTTACGGCGTAGAAAAATTTGGAGTACCTCACAAACTGTAGCATAAACTATTTGGCCTGTATTAGACATCTGAAATATATATTATCATCATGAGTTCTGCTCTGTTTCATGCGATTTTGGGCTTGTTAGAAACGCACAAATCAGAGCTTTAAAACGGGTCTGAGAGCCCCTAATATTTCGACGTTTAAGGCGACCTCCGATAACATTTACCGTTTTTAGGCAGATTCTTCACCAGTAATTGGTCCAAAGCCATTTGAGTTTTGAACTAAATACTACGTAAATAGACGCGTTGGAATCGGCTTGAACACCACTTTCCAACGCAAAAAAAATCACAAAAGACGAATATGTTTTGCAAAAGATACTTCATATTCTTTCTTGTTGCAATCTTTGTAGGTCAATCAATCTCTGGACAGTGTGGTACTTTCTTCTTATTCCAGGCGTATTTTGGTCATAAATTATTCATATACAATAGGGAATGTGTTTTCTACTGAAATCTAGTATACTTGTAGTTTGACTCCCTATAAGGGCTGGGTAGAAAGTGGAGGCCCCTCTATAGCACCCTATAGTAACGGCACAAGTCTCTGTAGTGCTGTATAGCACAAGCTTACACCCACACAGTGCTGTGGAGCGCTGTGGAGCGCTAGGGCATCTAGCCAAACTTGGCGTGTAACTATGGGAAACTATGATATTAGCGGAAGCACTATGCCTGTCTACGTGGGAAAATCAGGTTTTGCTGATGAAGTCGCTGGGATGCACGCACACGAGAACGTCGACCGGTAGCTCTAAATGCTCTCTTGTCCAAGATTCGCCGTCTGTATGCTCTCTCGATACCAAAGGAAGCTTCCCCCGCCTATAGTCACAAAAAAGGTGTGCACTAAGCGTCCTGCCTTCTAACTGCCTTTCATGACTCAATCGAAGGTGTGGCAGCTCACTACGTACACCTTGCAAAGGCTTTTAACAAGTTCGAGCGACTCTTTCACCCTATTCCACCGCAACCATGGCCCATTTTGGTGGGGCTGGTTTCTGCGCGCGGTTAAAGGTGCCGATTGGGCTGAGGTTTCGACAACGAGCTCTGCTGGGAGGCTGAGCCTCGTTGAGGTCTTCGAGGTTTGTTGGCGAAGATAGCGACCATGCTTGGAGGAGTGCTCACGGGTGTATAAAAGGGTCGTTGACATTCAACGCCCATTGACGTGAGGTTGAGGCTCAATTGTTGATCTTTTCCAGTACGTCTATCTCCATTCCTATAAGCTATAACGGCGATAGCTAACGAGTCAGTTGGTTCTTGCAGGATGAGCAACATAGGTATCGAGCTTATCAAAGTCCAACACCTTTGTTACTGCAGTCCGACTGTGTCTTGAACCAACTTTCTTTACCTCTCTCTCTTTGGGACGATGCTGCCGCAAGACTCGCGACCGAATCCCTTCCACCTAACTCCGTTATGTCAGTGGCGCATGACGGCAATGCAGCTTTTTCCAACGCTCTCGCCCAAAATCTTCTCCGTCGTAGAATCTATCGTGGAATCAATCCTTAACATCTTATCTATTTTCTTGAGAACAAGATGAAAGCGGAACGGCGCCAGTTGTAGAAACTCAAACCGTGATCAAGCGCCCACTACGTGACAAATACCAATGCTGTCCTGTACCCATCTTTCAAACCCACAAAAACTCACAAAGCAGTCTAAAAACTTCTCTTAAAGCCCTCAACAACCCCTTAGAGCTACTGCAGTGCTATCAATTCAAAAGCTACCGTGAAAACCGCCGAAAAATGGGGAAGAACCGAACAATAGCGCTAGGCGCCTCTCCAGAAACCCTGGAAGATTTGGCAATAGCTGAAGAAAGGACGGAGGACATATAGCGTGTGATCGCGTCTTGGTTTCGT